AATTTTTTTTATTTTGATGGTATAAGTTTCTTTAAAATTAGTACAGCTCTAAAAGAAGTGAATATCATATTAGATGATGTTCCTTTTTATGTTATTTTACCACATGAAGCATGTATCTTAGAAGTTTAGTCATGGATTGCAGTAAGAAGGCCACATTGCTTGTAAAATAGCAGGCCTGAAGGGAACCCAGAGTGAATATACTGAATTGCTTCTGGCACCTGAGGGAGCTTGGCTGTTTGTTTGGGCAGAAATGCAGCTTTTCCTCAATGTGCTCTCTTGTGCCCCAGGCAGGGGTCAGCAATGTTTATGGCTGAGTGACTGCTGCCCCTTAGGGTGTAATTAAAGTTACATCCTTTTAGCCATAAACTGCTCTTCATTTCAAATTTATAAATTTTTCATTTCTAATGTACTTATGGTGTTTGTAATAAGATTAAATAAAGGTAAGAACCTGTATCTAGCAGCTTTCTATTGAAGTATATTCCTTAAGTTAATTTAAATGACACTATTCTTCTTGTATAAAATATAATTGTGTTTGTCTTGGAGTTTGGTGTTACAGAAATTCTGTGCTTGCTTTGTGCAGCTGACTATTGCACAGCAGGGCCAGAATGATACAAATGAAGGGGCAAGTTCAGGACAAAGACCTTGCAACCCCCCAACACTTCTCAGAGGTTGTCTTTTCTGAAAGGGCTAGTGCTGCCATGGAGGGTCCTGCTCAGCATCCAAAAATAAATCATCATCCAAAAATGTGGTATGGGTCAGATTGTTTAGCTTTTCCAAATTCCACATTTGCATATTAGTGCTCTCATCCCTGAAACTGGCTTGGATTTTATGACTTATTTTGCAGTCAGATGTTGATTTTAAAAGCATAAAATTAAGGAATTTTTTTTTTTCTTGTATGATCAGCCAAGTGAAGCTGGGTGAAACAGCTGCAGTCATTATTACAAATCTTCTTGACTTGTGGGTTGACCATCAGAGTTATATAAAGAAAAAATAACTGTGGAAGATTTGGAGAAGTGCCTGGCATTGCATGCTTATTTCTAGTAAATGGCATTACATTTCTCTGACTCTTCCCAAATTCTGCAGCTAACTTGTGTTGTTCAGCATGTCAGGTGATTCTCACTGCCTCACTGTTAACTTCCTATAGTAACAAAGTACTAAATGAGGGTTCCTAAAAAAGAGGGAAAAGGACTTTTTCATGGGCAGATAGGACAAGGAGAAACAGTTTCAAACTAAAAGATGAGAGTGCTGTCAAAATTTCAATTAAAGTACGTGTGTGGAGTACAAAAATACCGAAGGATTTTAGAACCATAATAATTTACAGTGAATTTCTTTCAATTGATAACATACATTGTATTTAATATTTTGAGACTAAATTTACTGGTGCATTAAATAGGTCAAAACTTTAATCATAAGTCATAGCAAAATACACATTTGTTGCTTTAAAGTAGTTCAGTGGAATTAGTGAAAGCAGCCTAGATCCCCTCATAAGCTATCTGAAGCTAAGCCAAAAATAGTGGATGTTAATTCCATTTCTATCCTAATCCTTTCTCTGCTTGTCTAACAATTTTCTATATATTCATAGCAGAGTATCTATCTCAAAAATTCATACTTTGTTATTTGTGTATTCAGGTGTGAATTTCCTTTGCAATTTTAAAACAAAATCTTTCAGACAGACTCAGAACTTAAAATAGATACTTTTGAGTAAAATTCCTTTTCTATAAGTTATATTTTTACATTTTAAAAATGAAAGTTAAACCAAGCACTCTGCTCTGCCTAGGACACACAGAATAAGTTGTTTTGGGTGCCTGTGTACCCACAAAATCATTGTTCTTCTATCCATGTTTCATGTGAGTAATCCATTCCTGATTAGCTGCTTCACAAAATACAAAGGAATTGCATGGCTGTGTCATTGAAGATGTTCCATGTTTTGGGTTGGATTTTTAAAAGGTTTGGCACCTCTTTCTCTGTACATGACCCACCCCTCTGGCAGAGGTGTGGGAAGGCCCATCCAGAAGGATCCTTCTGCTTCCCAGCCTTTCCCAGAGGCCAGGGGCTGGACCCTGGGCTCAGTGGGAGCTCTGGCACCCTGGGAGGTGTGTGTGCAGTGTTGGGCCTCTTCTCAGGGGGTTTTGTGCACCCTGTGCAATTGGTGCCAGCAGTGCATGTGTGAAATGCAGAGTTTGGGAAGGCCCAAGGCCATAGGAGAATTATTACAATTATGCTAGCATGGAACACTGGTCTATCTGAGCAGCAATGTTGGGAGTAGCTGGTTAGAATATTCTACACGTACACATGTAATATGTGTCACATTGGCCCATGTTCAGTCATGATTTCACCTTCAGTGGGGCAAAAATAAATTTATTCCGAGTTTTCTTTGGAGGTTTCCTTGCCAGCATCACCCTGGCTGTTGCTTTCAGTGATGTTTGGTCTGCTTCATCCATCTGAATGTGTTGGGTGTGAGGTGACAAATGAGTTTCAAATGCATCTCTTCTTTCACTTACAGAGGCTTCTGCAGCAATGCCCATTGCCACATAAAGAAAGCAAAGGGAGTCTTGGTTTCTGTGTACCTGTAGGTATTTGAATGCTGTAAAATTTGTAAGAGAGCCCTTCAAGCTTCCCACAGCCTCATTTGTAACAGGATATGTTTGAGGCTTCCTTTCATCTGAGTCTCAATATTTGTGTCTGAGGATTGCCATTAGTAAGTGCTGTTTCATCCAGGTGTGTGTGAGAGCCTTTGCAGGTGTTATCTTTTAAAGAGATTAAATGAAAGGTTTTCACCTTGTAGGCAGCTATTGCTCTGGTGTTTAATCCTCTTGACTCCTTTGAACCCTGTGCAGACTATACTCATGTGCAGAAGTGACTGCAGGAGAGGTAACATGGATGAAGGATGGGAATTCACCTTTTTTCTGCCTACAGTCCAAATTGGAGCAAGCCCATGCTAGGGGATATTGCTGCTGGTCACAAGTGCCTGATACACCACCCACAATGAGAATTTTTGTAAGAATGTGATTGCAAATATTAATATTTTTTAATGTCGTCATGCTCAATTTAATTCATGATGGAAAACAGCCAACACCAGTGGATTTCAGGTGATGGGAAAATTGCAGCCTGTTAGCTTGCCAACATTTACAGTGGAAATGGAATTAATTACAAGCAGTGATATCTGCCTGGATCAGCTGTAGAGCTCTTGGCTGGCAGAGGGAGCAAAAGGCATGTTCTTATCTGTTACACTGGTACGTGACTCTTGGAGCCTGTCAATATCACTTTAAAAGGATCACATATGAGGGTGCTGAATGTGAGCCCTTGCAGCCACTGTGTCCTTGATGGTAGGAGTGAAGTTCCCTGTGACATTTGCACAGTGCTTTTGTTCACCATGGGTATGTACCTTTCCTGTTCCACAGATTCATTTTTATTGTAGTGATATAATGCACAGGAAATTGTGCAGGTTTCTGTCAGAGACCTGCTAAGGAGGTAGAGTGCATAGAGTATATCTGAGGAAAAGTTGTCTAAAATGAGAAATTCTGGCTTTCACTCTACATCTGCACAACAAAATATCTGGTAGTACTTGGCCTGGAAGCAATGCACAAGTACTCTGGATATTTCTGTTCAACACAGTGAGTTCTTGTGGAAAAGACATATATGTATTTGTGAGGGTAGATATAGATATATATGAGCATATTAAAATACCTTTAGTTGTACAAATGTTGAAACATCTCTGTGACCCCAAGGCAGTGTGTGTAGTCAATCAGTGGAAGATCTGATTCAATCAGAAAAAATGGATCTCTAAATCTGGTGAGATTCCAAATCTTCAATCACAACTCCCCTCAGATGTAAAACTGCTAACATAAATGTTAATAATGTCTAGGGTACTGCTCCTGTGGTAGAAACAAGGGTTTGCTAAAAATAGAAATGACTGAGTGCACTATAAAAAAGGACAGAATATCTGCAAGGCTTTGGCTAAAGATTTTCTTGTTTTGTTTTTACCCTGCCTCTGGTGTCATGAGTGCACACCTTCCACAGCCAGCATGGACTTGTGGATTTGCAAAGGTGAGCAGCCTGAGAGCCCAGAGCATGCACCCTTAACAGAGGCAGTGCTGGGGTGCAGATCCTCCTTACAGAGAGAGGGGAATTTCTCCTCCAGCCTTTCTCTGGGTCCCTCTTTGCAGCCAGCTCCTGTGGTGCCAGAGGTGAGCACAAGCTGGAGTGCTGCCCAGCACTATTTGTTCTGGGAACACTGGCAGTGACCCCACACTGGCTTGGTAGAGGTCATTTCCTTGGGTTTTATGTCATCTCTGTCACAGGGGGTCAGAACAACTTTGTCCATACCTGCTGTACACTTGTGTGGCCTCAGGGAAAACAGTGGACTAAAAGAGTGATCTTCTTGTAACATGAAATATCAAGAAGTTTATTAGGAAAGGTGTGGGCAAAAGGAGAACTTGTTCAGTTGTTGCAGCTTCAAGGTTTAAAAGCTCCATCAGTGACTGGATCACTTCTGAAATGATGATGTCAAATGAACTTTTTGTTGTTGTTGTTTTGATGATACAGTTAATATCATTGGCTTAATGGCCACTGTGGTGAAAAGCTATCTGGTTGGAAAATACTTCTGTCTTTGCTTAAGTTACATGACATCTCTGGATGTCCCAAAAATGGCTCCAGAGAATTAGGGGAGATGATACTTGGTAATGTTGAGATAGTTATTGTTGAAAGATAGAAACCAAGGAGGATTTTTTCCTTTTGTGTTTTATGAATTGGAAAAAAACTCACCAGAATTTAAAAAAAAAATTTAAGGAAAAACTCTTCGGAGAAAGCAAAAATAGAAACTGACTGGTCTGAGTACACTTAGACTAGAGTGCTGTGTATTTTAGAAAGTACTTGTGAATTGTGGAAGGCAAGAAGCCCAAGCAGAAGGTCAGTAGAGATTATAGTTTCCAGTACACTTATTTCCTACTTAAATTGTGTCCTTTTCTTTTCCACCACTTCTTGCAGGTCTCTGGTTTTTGCCATGTCATCTGACAGCCACCAGCTCCACACCCATTGCTACCAGGACTCACTAAGTTCTACTTGTCACAGTCTCTTGAATGTCAACAGTCACCCCCTGTCTAAGAGCTCCTCAAATCTGGCCTGTATTGGGCACTCAAGGAGTTTTGAGGAAAGGCAAAGCAAACAGGAGCTGAAGAAAAGCCATAGTAGCACCATCTGCCATGTCCTGGAAAACAGGAGTGATGCAAGGAGTGTGCAGAGTCCTGAGTGGTCCTCCTCACAGTCTGGGATGGTGGGACTTGGATCAGAGGTCCAAACCATAAATGACCAGTCAGGCAATGACCATTCAGAGGGAAGAAATAAGAACACAAACCATGTTCTTGTCACTGAACAATCCTCAGCATCCTGGGGAGTGGGGGACACTAGGATGTGTGTGAAGAGCAGCACTGCTGAGAATGTTTCTTCAGCCTGCTTTGTTCACCAGCAAGGCATGTGTAAAATGGAAGAATCAGGAACTGCCCTCCAGAGAAGCCACTCAGACCTAACCTGCAGCTGCAAACAGCAGACTCATGTGACTCACATAGAAACCAGTGCTACTCGCTCCAGCCTCAGCTCTTCTGGCTGCAGGCATGGTCCACCAGAGGCTAGGATGTCTTTCCAAACTCAGAGATATGGATCAGAAACAAATCAAAATGCATCTCACTATCAAAACCTTGTGACTCATCTTCCAGTCCTACCTAGGGACCAACAGGTACCCACAAATACCTTTGACAGTGGCAGTATTCCACGTAACACCACTGTTTACACAGATCCTGGCACGTTTCACGCTGCTGTCCTAGGACCCCACATGCCTGGAAACGGTTTCCCAAACAGGACAACGTTCAGTCAAGCCCCTGGGATTATTCATGGCGGTCTGACTTACGGTAGTATTCCAAACTCTGCCTACTCCCCCATGGTGATGACAGTTCACAACAACTCAGCAGGGCCCTGCAGTCTCAGGCAGGACGCCTTGAAGGCAGACGCCACCATCCCGGCCTATTGCCACTCCTTGCCCATCCCATCCATCCAGCTCATCCCACGTCTGGTGTGCTCTGTCAGTGAGACAGGAAAAGAGCAGGCAGCACCTGGCTACTTCCATTCCTTTTCTGCTTCTGACATTCTGACATACCCTAAGCTGGTGTCTTCAGTGAGTGAATCGGGCCTGGATGCCAAGAAAATCCTGAAGTGCTGTAATGTTCCTGAAGAACAACTGCAACCTGCTCCGCAGGAGAGAGCTCCTCCAGAAGCCAAGGCTGCCCAGGTTGCTCTGAGCAGCCAGCAGGGTGCAGACATGGCAGTGACAACTAAGGATATGTGGACTATGACCTCTATGAATGACATAACCAAGGGCCTGAAACCGGCTCTGGAGCGCAGAGATGCCGAGGTACAAACTCTTCCAACCATGGAATGCAAATCGGTGGCAACGAGCCCAGCAGCTGCAGCAGAAGGTCACTCACACGTGTTCCCAGAGGTGAACCTGGAGCAGGGCTTGGAGGCCCCCAAATCTCCAGTTCGTGAAGTGAGATGGGATGATGAAGGAATGACGTGGGAAGTGTATGGGGCATCTGTGGATCCAGAAGTCCTCGGGGTGGCCATTCAAAAACATCTCGAGTTCCAAATAGAACAGTTCCAGACAGTGCCTGCTGAGGCAGCTGAGAAATGTAATGAGGAGCCACCCCCTGAAAAAGCTGGGAAAAAAAGGCCTTTCAGGACAATGATGCATTCCCTGAGATATCCGAGCTGTTGTGCTCGCTCCAGTACTGCAGTGGAGTGAGCACAGCTGCAGGCTGTAGGAAAGCTGTGCTGCTTTCATTTGTACATAAATGCTGACTGTTAAGTGTGAACACAGGATATGTGAACAGCCCCCACCAGGATAAGTGGGGAAAGTTCAGTGATCATCAAATACATGTTAAAGCAAGGAGAAGTCCATGGCTGGACCATCTCACAGAAAACATAAGATTATACTTAAATAATGCCATCCAAATACTCTTGACTGTATTTAATGTAGCACTGTTTCCTTCTACATTAGTTTTAAACTGTATTGTAAGGAATGGAACTTCTTTTTTAATGATACATATTTTTTGAAATAATGATGACTTTTTTCTGTATTTTAATAATTTAGGGTTAGAAAAAATGCTTTAATCAAAGTTCTTAGCTTTAAATCACATTCCCTTAAATTGTTTTGGCAGCTGTTTTGCTGTTAATTTAATAATCCTGACTATAAACTTGCTTTAACTGTAGACAAAATAACAAACTTGTGTAATGATCTATGACAAAGAATTGTAACTTTTTTCTACATAACTGTGAAGTAATTTCAGTGTTGCTAGTCTGAACTCTTCCCTTAGCAAGCTCATGTACAGTTGGAGGACACTCCATCAACTTTCCAATTAGTTTGTAGTTATGATGAATTACACTCTAAATACCCAGAACTCACGTTTACCAAGTGGTTGACACAAATGTACAGTGTTACCAAAGATGGCTGGTGTAATGTGAATTACTGAGTGCTTGTTTTAGAGACCTGAAACAGAAGCTGTTCAGATTAGTCTGTGGCACCACCATACCCCACAACTCACGAGCAGTTTTGGTTTGCTTCCATTAAAAGTAATTTCCAGTGAGTTGTCTTTATGTGCATGTATCCTGAGCAGTGCTTGTTTGGCTCTTGCATAAGCCCAGGGGACACTTTCCATGTAACCTTTGCCTGGCTTGTGTTCCCTCTCTGGTCTGACGTCAGGCATCTGCTGAAAGTGAGACCTTGTGTCTTTCCCAAAGGACAGTCCTAAGGTTATTCTGAGTGCCTTGGTCACTTGGGCAGCTTAAAGATTTATTTTCTTCTAGAAACAACTTCACAAACAAGTTTTCAGTGAGAAAGCTGTTATGATAGTGTAATGCAGCTGTAGTGCAGGGCCTGTTTGAAGTAAAAGGTTTGTCAAGGAAGTTGAGAATGCTATTTCTAGTGTCACATGTGCCTTTGGTGAATGCCTAAGATTCTTGGGGAAATGAGATGTGCAATATTTGTTTTATGAGACAGAAGAGAAACACTCATTTCTGTCTCAAAGGAAAATTTGCAGTGTCTGAGAACTTACTGCTGTGGAATTACAGGATCTTACTTTAAATGTGTGGGGTTGTGGTTTGTTGGTTTGGTTTGGTTTGGTTTTTGTTCCAGTAAGTTAGCAGACTGACATCATAATGTTCACCTGACATTTGCATATCAAGAGGAACTCCTGGTGATTAGGACAGCTTTAAACTTTCATCTATAAAATCCTTAATGTAGGACCTCCTAGTTGGAATGTCCTGTGATGCATTAATTTAATGGTGTGGAGTTGTTCAAGATCAAATTTTCCCTCCTGGGCAAAGAGCTGGCTCCTGTGAAATGCACTTGGTGTTCAGGAGGTTTTGTTTACACCCCGGGACTTTGGCCTCAAATAAGTCTGAGCTCAAAATGAGTTTTAGAAAAACCAAGTGTGAAGCCACTGGAATATAATGCCTTACTCAGGATGCCTCTATAGCTGTGAGCCTCTAAGTTCTGCTAATGATTCTGGATGTAAAAATTCTTTTTATTGAAGCTTTAATAGGAGGAAGGAAGTAATGAGTTACTAAATAGAACTACTTTGCTGTTATTTATAGTTTAGCTAAGCAGTTTCTATACAGGTTTATTTTATGGTCCAGAATATTGAATGTTGATCTTTTTCCTTTCCTCAAACACTACAGTTTGAGAATTTTAAGCTTTATAGTGGTATAAAACCTTGTGCTGTCTGTTAGCTTCTCCTTAGGTGTGCAGGAGAATTCAAGATTTGAAGAGTCAAACTAAAGCTTTAAAGCAAGAGTCAAACTAAAGCTTTTAAAGCAAGAGTACCTTCCTCCCATGGCCTTTGTAATCCATACTTTATTTGACATGTGGAAAAACTGTATTCTCCTTCCCACCCCTGCTGTTCCAAGCACCTCTCCAAAATCAAGCCCCCAGCTGTAGGAATATGATATAATAAGACCAGTATCAAACTGGTAAGAAAGAGAGAGTGTGCAGAAGGCATGGAATAATATGGCAAAGTCCCTTGAATTCTTTGTCTGTTGAGCTATAAAACCTGAAAGAATTATTTTATTTCTTTCAGTTCTGGTGTCAATTACTTATGGTTTATGCATTAGTGTGACTTGTTACTGCAGTCCTAAATACAATTATGATTCCTGAAAGAGAAAAATAAATTACAAGTAAAGGCAAAGGATACCAATGATTTGCAAGATCAGAAAAACAGATGTTCACTCATTACAGACACTCTGAATCTTCATGTTTTTAATCAGCGTTGCCATTATTTACAAAATATAGTGTTTATGCTTGAGGACTTCCTACACTTTTGGAAAGGTTTAAAGTACAAGAATATAATGGACATCTGAGAAAAAAAAACAACAACAAACATTCATCTGATTATTAGCTACAGGGATAAAATAAGTTGTTTTATTTGTACAATCGAAGTCTTAATTTGAATTAATTTTGCATTTTGGTGCAGTTTTTTAAAAAAATCAAATGCAGCCATTTTGTATATTAAGTATTCTCCATTGAAATGTTACTCTTGTAAATGTGAGAACTGTGTTTTTAATGTTTTTTAACTTAAGAAAATCCACATCCACTACCTTCTACTCTTAAATGTAAATATAGTAGCAGGAAAACTCACACGATTTATAATTGAGTGGGTCAATGCTGAGCACAGATGCTTGTCAAGCTGGGGTGAAATGGGGTGTATTATTTCTCAAGCCATTTGAAGAGCAGTGTGCTTTGCACCATGCTGCCTCTGCTCCCCAGCCTGAGTGCTCAGGTACAGCTCCAGCTGAGCAGACTGGGGCTGCCTTTCCCAGGAATCCTCAGGGAGGGATGATCTGGCACAGTGGCTGCTTGATGCTTTTGTCTCTGTGTGCCTTCTTTACCTTAACATGCAGGAACAGCCCCAGCTGATGCAGTATTTGGGATATGTTATGTTTTATATGTTATGTTGTCCCTAGACACTAACTGATGCCTCTAGAATGATTTAATTGTATATTGTACATTGATACTTGAGGGCTGAGATGCTTAGCTCAGTGGCTCAGCAGAGATTGAAGGCAATTGATAGTAATATCAGTATGTGCTAAATAGTTCTAAAAATGTGTTAGAATAATTCATTTCATTCTGAAGTAGTATTTACTGTTACCATTCCTAGAGGAGAGACCAAAACCTGTCAGACATTTGGCACTGACTATTATAATTGCAGTTTCAATTTGAGATAATCTTTGACTGGGGTTGAATACTGAAATAGAGGGTATTTTCTCAATGCTTTAAATAAAAATCATCCATAGTTAAATCAAGTCTTTAAAAAGCCAAAGCAGCACACTAAACAGTTGCTTAGTCATTGTCACATCAGTTACTATTAAAATAATTTTATTTGTTTGTTTGGTCCTCACCTGAACATGTTTTGCTTTAGGAAGGAAGCCCTGTTCCACAGAAAGCCTATCTTCCTTCCAGATGTAGCTTAAGAAAGCTTTTGTTGTACAGCTGAGCCAAAAGGCCCCACAGAACAGCACTTTTGCACAGTCCTCTGGGACAGGGGCGAGTGGGAAGAGGAAAAGGCAGTCAGCTGTTCTGTGCTGAAATGTAACCAAGATGTTTCAGGAAAAAAAGAGCATCTCCACTGTATGGACAGAGCAATGTGTTTCTTCCTGATCACTTCTCTGCTTGTAGGCAGTAAGAATAATGACAGGCTGCACTAATTGCATTATTGGATAGACATTTAGTCTTTTAAATCCAAAGCAGGAGCGACCTGTCTGGAGATGTGCTGAGGTGAGAGGCCTTCTAGAAGGATGTAAGTCACTATTAAAGAATGAGTAAGAAAAACAGTGTAGCTTTGCTCTAGGAGAAGTAATGTGTGCTGAGGGTGGGTTAATCAGAAGCTGAGAGTGGAGGTGAGATCGAGGGACCCCAGCTCCACAGAGGGAACAGGGCTGGGTATCCTCCAGACACTGCTACTGCCCCCTCTCTCAGGAGCTTTTCCAGCTGGGAAATTGCAATGTTAATACTTCATTGCCATCTGTTCCTTTCAGACATGTTGAGGTGATTAATTTGTCTTCTTAAGCCCCTTGAAAATGAAAGCAGTTTATTAGTGCTAAGTAATACTGTTAATTGGCAAGAGAGAAAGAGGCAGCATGTGGGTTTATGAGCTGGAAATAAATCATTCTAATCAACTCTCACGCTACCAGTTAAATAACTTAGTGGAACTTGCTGTGTCAGTCTCTTGTGTCTTTCCCCTTCAGGGGACTTTAGGGTCCAGGATTGATTTCTAAATTTTATTTCTTTTCCCTCCATACAGAACTATGGGTCTGAAATTGAGAGTATAATGTTCTATTCAGCTTCCTTCCAAAGCACTGTTTTTTACACAGGCCACAAGATCCAGCTGACCCTCATCAAAGCAGGGGAATCTAAAGCCTGTGAGCCTATGTGCAGAGCCCTGGGCTGCTGGTGTCTGCAGGTTCTGCCTGTCCACAGGTACTGTGTGTCCTGCAAGCCCCTCGTGCCTGCTCAGGAAGGGAGCTGTGGTGCTTTCTGTTGATGCTGTAGTCCAGGTCATCCCACTCCCCTGCCCCTCCACAGGAGCAATTCTACAGAGCTATGTGGTTTTAAAGGGACAGAGATGGGTAAGCTTTGTGGATGATGTGGATTAGTGCGAACTCTGTTCCTTTTCTTGTTCAGAAAGCAACATGCACACAGCAGTTCTGCCCCTAAAAATGTTTGTGCTCCCTTTCCACCTCTGCCAGCTGGAATGAGCATGTCCATGTCCATTTCTGTGGGGCAGCACCCTGCCACAGGCAAAATCAGTTCCAGAAAATTGTTTCTTTCCCCTGGAACTCTTTCACCAGCCTTGGCACACAATTGCTTGTGGCTTTTACTGTATCCATGAAGGGAATGGTGCATGTCCTTTGCCATGGTTGCTTGGATGTCCAGCTTCCATCTTTCTCGAGGTGTAGAAGTGCTGAGCCTGGAGCTGACAGCCATCACACGTACCAGGGCCAATGTGTTCAGATAGCAGAGTACTAAGCTGTAGCTTGTAAGTCTTTGGGAGCATTAATCCTTTCAGATATGTGACCTCAACAGATGTCATCTGTCTTATTATCAGGCTTTCAGTATACTACAGGCCATGCCACTCAGATGGCATGTGAAGGAAGCTTAGAAAGCAAAGGGGAGGGACACAGGCAAGGAAACGATGCTGCTGACTTCCATCCCCTTCCAGGCACCTTCTGCTCGCCTACAGGCACTAAAGACAGGTATCATTTGTGGTATCACAGGTGTGATGAAGGGGAGATGTTGTCCCCCGAGGTGTTAAAGGTAGTGGGACTTAAGGAATGTGGGTCAGGCGCTCCCTGCGCTCCTGCTGGCCAGGATTACAATCCGAGCTCCACCTGGTGCTCAGCGCCGGCGCACAACTCTGCAGGACAGACCCGCTCTTCCTCTCTGGCATCTTCTGGTCCCTGCTCACCTCCGGCAATTTTTCCTGTACAGCAGAGATGGGCTCACAGCTTGGGGTGCAGTGACTCCTGCCCAAACCCCCTTTTGTTGGTGCTCTCCAGCAGGCCTGCTGACAGGCAGCTTT